AGAACAATGAACAAAACTAATAAGAACAAAATCATCATAATTTGACCCTTTGCACCAGCCTTCTTCATTACCATGCCAACCTTTTTCTGCAGAAATATGCAATTTACAGAACAATGAGATTGCTAGGGAGTAGGCTGTGATCAATAACATAGATAGATATCATGATAGTCACAAAAGAAGATAAACCACCTGAACAAATTCGAGACGATTTGATGTACTGTCCATCTCTGTACCCAGTTCATCTACTATTTTCTCCTAATAAATCATCGAACTCAGATTTAGCATAAATTCACAGCACGAAAAAACTTAAAGAAAGTTATATTTTCACAAATAATGCAATTGTAAGTAGAGGTTAACATCTAACCGGTATATAACAAATAGAATGTACATTTCTTTATTGATCAATTAGGATTAGACAACAATTACCTGTGCAAGGAGTTCTTCATGTATCGTAAGGCCAACACCTCCAATTCTTTCTACGTTGGCACTGAGCTCATCCAGCTCTTCATCTTGTCGCCTGCACGACATAATTCTTGTCAACATGAGAAAAATGGAACACCAGAAGATTGCTGATATCTACTTGACGAAATAGATAAAAGCAATGTGAGCAGCACTGATCTAAATAAGATCCAGTGATTCGTTGGTCCAGTACATCTGAAAGAATGGACTTAACTAACCCATATTATCCATCTTATTTGTAAAAATATTGCTCTATAACATTAGAAAGTCTTCGCAAACTGAAAAAACACAATACACATATATGATTGGGATATAATATGTGAAAACTTCAAAGGTAGAAAGAATATTAGAATAGTGTTCATTACAAGGTAGAAGTGCAACTCATAAAGCGACATAAGCAAGATGGTGGCCTAAATGCTTTCGACCAGTTGCTGTAAGCTGACTTCTCCAATACGAACCAAAAAGACAACAATTAAGCCTTACTCCCAATATATTTGGAGTTGGTTAAATCAATTCTTTTCACCAACTATTCGCTTCATGAAACAATTTACAGCAAGACTGATAGCAGCTAGGTCCTTGGCTGCCACAACATGCCATGTTAGTTTTGGTCTACCCATCCCTTTGCTAACTTTTTTATTGTGATAATCACTCACGTTGCCAGTATGAACCACTTTAAAATATTAATTTTCAATAGATTATGTTTAAAATCCCAAGAATCAGAATATGCATTGGGTCCTAAAGGTACTAGACAAGGTATAAGATATATATCAATGATAAATTGCTATCACTAAGATCCATAAGCATAAATCAAATAAAAAGTAAGGATGACCTTTGGATTCTCTGATTGAGTTCATTACCTAACAATTTCCAAACTTGCTAATACGAGCACACAAATTGAACCAAAAGAGGGACAGAATAAAAATAAAGCAGAATAGGTGCTCAAACAATACCTTATGAGAAGTTGTTGTCGATCTGATTCTGTTGATATGAAATCATCATTATCTTGTGCATTATACTGATTGGATTTGTCAGACTGATTAGAATTTGGAAGTCTCATCAGCTCACGCCGCATACCATTTACACTAGAAGTGCTTGTGCCGTTCGACTCCTTCCCAGTAATTACTGATTTCTTCACATTCCCCACCTATATATAAAAACCATCCTTTGGGTAATCTGGAACTAGGGGGAACCAAGGAACAAAAACTGCTATCCTCGCTCCGGTTTGAAAGTCAAAATTGACACTCAAGTAACAGTATCATAGGCAACATCAATAGGAGTTATCAGGCAAAATCAACAAGCATTTATATTACCATATACCTGAGTACGAGCATTGCTGGTCCATCTTTTTCGTTTATCAAGCTCCACCTGGGTAACACCATAAAAAGAAGGATCTCTTGCTGCAACAGCAATTGTCTTGTCCAATTCATCCACCTTCCTATCAGGAAAATTACTTCAGTATTGACACAATATGTTATGCCATTACTTATCAGGACCTTAGAAAGAGGTAGGCACATTTTTGTGAATCAAGTTTATTCTCCTCTCACATTCAATGCATATAAAGACATTAGAAATACTAGCTACTACTAATATTGAAATGATTGGCATTTCTAGCAGTTGTAGACGTGATGATGATGAGAGGGAGATGACTCCAATAAAGATAAGGACTAAAATAACATAAAATTTAGGATTTTCAACCAATTGCAGGAACGTAAAAAGGAAGTGCAGAAGCCACATCATATGCATAAATGAATCAACTGAACCTATCACCATACTGCAAGTTAGCCATTTTAAGGTATCTGATATTAAAGTGACCCGAAGAAAAATTGAGTACATCTTACAGATTTACACTTGAACTCATACCTGCCACTCAATGCTCTCGCAACTAGCAAGGAGCTCCTTAGTGAGATGTAGTTGATTCCCACTGTCCAAAGGCATTCGTTCCCATTGGTGAAATGTTGAGAGCAACTTGTCAATCTAATCAATTAGGCAATAAGTGCTTAGATAATTTTCTGAAAAATTCAAAATGACAGCAACTAGAAGCATATTTTGGCAGCTAGAAAAAGGATACAGATGTTTGATAGAAAGACAAGAAGAATTAGCAGGTGAATACACCGTACTTAAGCACAGGAGATCAGTTAATCTCTTTCTGTATTCTCTTTTTAGCCATATTTTATATTTTGAGCTAGATAAAGCTCAACTTGGAGACTTGACACAGCATAATAACAAAAAATAAATAAAATCCTTTCAACTTATCCAAGCAGCAACCCAACAATAAAATAAGATTCACAAAGCCAAAATTATTGTGAATATTTTTCAAATCACATAGCATAATGACTGATACAAGCAAAACATTTTCTTTTCTGGCATTTATTAAGCAAAATTAGACAAAGCTGTATGGGAGAAAAACTAACTTCATTATTGAACTCTATAGTTAAACAGTTTCAAATAATTTGAAGATTAAGGAAAGTAAAAGATACTCTGCATATTCAGAACTCACTCAATATCGTTCTCTCAACAAGCATACTATATTCTTAGACTATGCATCCTCCTGTTAAAATACTGTCATTTTAATCCTTCTACTACTTCATTCTTTATATAGTATCCTCCAGATGCACTTTAAGTACCCCTATAATGTAAATCCGCATCAATAAAGCTATAACGTCACTCCTGAAACCCTAAAAGTGTATTATGTATAGAAAATCGTAAAATCCAATTGAAAACTCATGCATATTCCTAGTTAAAATTTAATTTCTTCGGTAATTCTGGGTGATAAGATCGTAAATTTGAAATCAAGCCCACTTCAAATATCAGCACAGAATCACAATTTCCAGTGATATAATCATGGAAACTGTATTACAAACACACTAAAGTAATAAAAAATGGATTAACGGAATGAATTGGTCCAGTATTCAAATGGAAAATACTTACAGAATCTTGAATTTCCTCTTTGACAATGTAAAAAGGGTCTTGAGCAGAAGACATATCTATATCCAATTATACAAATACAATCTGTTCACACCTACAGCAAGTCATGAAATTTCAAGATCTAAAATCTAACCACAACAGAACAAATCCATATAAATACAGGAAGTGTACATACGCTTATATCATAAATATGTTATATGTAATCACCTTGTTAAAATGAGATTCAAGAACTGCGATGTGGGAGGTTTGGAGTTGAATTGTCTGAACAAAGACTAAAGGAGCCACCCAGTTTCATTTTGTTTGCCATGGCCATCCAACTTTTTATAGTTAGTGCCTTAGTGACCCAATTTAATTTGAGTTTGCTTTCATATGACATATTTACTTAACTTCTTTCTCCCATTTTCACTAGTATAATGGTAACCTTACATTAAATGTATATAAATAAATTAAGCCCCTGTTTGGCCCCCATTACGGGGAAAATTTAATGTATAGAATAGTGTTTTTTGAAAAATGAGTGGTTGAAAAAGAAAGAAAAATTTTCGATTTACGTGTAATATTATTTTATGGAAGATTGTGTGGTTGAAAATAGGAGAGAGAAAAATAGAATGTAATGTAATGTAATGTAATTTTTCTCAAACAAGGGCTAAAAGTTTTTTTATTTTAAAAACTATTTTGTAAAATAATTTTTTATTTTATTTTTCTAAAAAATGTTTTTTAAAATCAGTTTTTATTTTATTTGAAAAATATATTTTTACATAAATCTTTATTTTATTTTAATTTTTTAATGAACGTTTTTATTTATTTTTTATTTTTCTAAATAATTTTTTATTAAAATAAGTTTTTATTTTATTTTTTAAAGTAACATTTATTGAAAATAAGTTTTTATTTTATTTCATTTTTTAAAATAATTTCATTTTTTATATTTATTTTATATATAATGCAAAGTTACCGTTTTATCCTTTTTAAAATTAGTGAAAATGATTAAAAAGAAGTTGGGTGACCATGATGAAATAAAATTAAATTGAGTGGTCATGTCGACACTAATAAAAGTTGAGTGGCTATAGTGAAATAAAATCAAATTGAATGGTCATGGTAACACTAAGTATAAAATTAGTTGATCGATTTAACCCAAGATTAAAACATTTATTAGTTGCGATGAATATGGATCGGGTTAATCCATTGAAATCAAAGATCAGGCTCAAGCATTAATAAGAATACGGCGTGTTTGGCGGTCCTTAAGAGCATCTCCAATATTAATGTAAATGGTCATTAGCACAAAACGTTATTACCTTTCAAATTTATTTTTATGTAAAAGTCCCTACATTTTATTTTTTGAAATTTTCACCCATATTTTCTCATTTCATTACAAAAAAAAGTCTTTTTATCCAATTTCTCAATAAAAAATAAAAAAATGACAAATATACCTTCCTATTTAAACAAAATAGAAGAAAAAGAAAAAAAATTAAAAAATAAATTGCAATTATATTCTCAAACTTTTTAAAAAACTACAAATGCATCCAAATAAATTATTAAAATGATGATTAGTACAAAACGTCCTGTCTTTCAAAATTATTCTGCAAAACGTCCCTATCATTTTTTGAAAATTTCACCTTTATTAATCCTCATTTTCAACCATTTTCAATTAAAAGATGTAAAATGACAAATATTTACTCTCCTATTTTTTTTTTTAAAAAAGAAAGATAAAGAACAAATTGTAACTATACTCCCAAATTTTTAAAAAAAATACAAAATGAACTTCAAATAAATAAATCAAAAATAAAAATAAAAAATCACTTTCTTTTTTTTTAATTATTTATTTGAAATGTATCTGTACTTTTTTTGAAAATTTTGGGAGTATAGTTGCAATTTTTTTTATTGTTTTGTTTAAATTGGAGTGTATTTCTTCATTTTATAGTTTTTAATTGACAAAATGGATGAAAATGCCAGAAATGAATGGTAGAGACGTTTTACACAATAATATTGAAATGTAAGAATTTTTTGTGCTAATTACCATTTAAATAATTTATTTGGACTCATTTGTATTTTTTTTAAAACTTTGGAAAAATAATTGCAAATTTTTGTTTAATTTTTTTTTTGTTTAAATAGTATGGTATATTTGTCATTTTATATTTTTTTTTTATTGAGAAACTGAATGAAAATGACATTTTCGCAATAAAAAGTGAAAATAGGTGTGAAAATGCTTGAAAATGAAAGATAAAAACGTTTTGTGCAATTTACCCTAATGCAAATAAAACTAAAGGTTGACACGTAAGCTCAAATAAATAATATCTATAGAAGTTTGTCTCCAATATATGGCTAGAACTATATGTAGCCAATGTGTCAAGATGAACTTTAAAATGTAACAACTCTACTAAACGGGATGCGTCATTATATTTTATTATTTATCTCTTTCTCCCTTCTATTTATTATTTTTCTCTCTCCTACTAAATATACAATAGATTGACATTTTTTCCATTTAGATGTCGAATCTTGCTACATGTACACTATGATGTATACTTTGCCACGTGATATTATCCTATTGAATAGTTTAAATTTCAAATAGATTTTTTATCAAACTGATATTTGACAACAATTCACGTGTCAACAAAAGTGTCGAAAATTAGTGTATAAGTAGCAAAATTCTTAGATGTCACCTAGATTGCAGTTCATGAAATGCATTGAAGATACATCAACAAAATGATTTCAAGATAGGGAAATGTCTTAACTAAAAGTACAACTAATTTGATAGAATTCACATTAAAAAAATAAAATAAATAAATAAAGACTTGTGAGAGTAATCCGCTATTACAAGTCTTCTTTTAAATTAGACCTCTCCATATCGTCCCGTCAAACTCAATTCAAATAGGAGGAGCATGACATGCTAATGCACTTAGATGATTCACATTCCCATGTCAAGTGTCGATAAGCACATTGAACTATGTATGTGATTGAGAGCCGTCACAACTCAAAACACGTTACAAAAATCATGGGTGCAATTTACTACCAAGCCAATAGTCTGTCGTACGAGTATCCCACTGGAGGCTGCTATACCAAAAGCGAGAAAACCCACTTTCCTCTCTTTAATTTTTGCTCCTATGTCGCTTCGCGAGGGACATGGGGACATAAAAAATGGATCCTATCTCTATAAAGAAAGATAATGTTAATGTCAAAATTAGTGTGAATATAATGCATTAATCACCAAGCTAACAAGTCTATTGTCAGTTGAGTTTTATTTTATTATATGTTGAAACTAAGTTCTCAAAAGAAGCCAAATGGTAAGGACAAAGTAGTAAAACATCGTGATACACAAAATTGGAGAGGAACAATGTTGCCTATATGACAAAGTTTAGGGATGGACCAATGTGGAAGAGATTTTAAGGTTCACAGCTAACCAAGTCAGTGCCTACCAAAAAGTTCGAGGCATTGCTTGGACTTACTCAGTCCTCGTAGTATGTGACATTCTTGTGGAAATGGGGAGAAGTTTTGGCGCGATTTTTGGTCAAGGTGGATATTTTATTGAAATAAAATGTTCACTTGGTAAATTTATCGAACCAGTGTTTTAATTTCTATTACTTTTATGCTCGTGTCATTTAAAGTAGCATCATCGTGATTGTACATTGTCGCTCTATTATTTGGAATGCTTTTCTAACATTTTACATGATACAAGTACTTTAATTTATTTTCCATCTTACTGACATTATCGAATTAAAGTACAATAACTTATTGTAAGGTTTGAGTGAAAGTATAGTGGCTACAAACAGGTTAAAGGTATTGAATCGGCACGACGTGATGTTAGCCAACGCGATAGAGTTAAATATAGTGGTTTAAATTAAAATATAACGACCTAATAGACCCGAGCTAAAGTATATTGACCCAATCGAATTTATTTTTATTTTTTGGTCAAAGTATAATGACAACAAATAGATTAATCTTACATATTACAATTTACACGTGCCTCTATTTTCAAAACTCTACCTGGATTTTTACAAATTTAAATTTAATCAGTTCGTGAATCCAGTACCTACTCCTTTAATTAGATAAAAATAATAATTTCAAGTTATATGAAGTGGAAGATATACCACATGTGATTTTTAACTTTCCAATTCAAAAATAAGATTTCAAAGTTTTTTTGTTCAAAATTCGAATGATAATTCATCTTTTAAAATATTAATAATATTATTATAAAATTAAATTAATTCATCCCACCTCTGCCTACACCACCCACTCACCCCCTCGTTCGGCGTCAAAACCATCACCTCCATTCGTAGCGGTGCCTCTCCATCAGGGCACTGCTGCACGAGATGGAGTTGTTGCTACTACCAGAAGCAGCACAACTTCGCCTCGTGCACAGCTATACCTTGCTACGAGAGCACTATTGCCTGCAAGGAGGAGACGCTACTGCTGCCTCACTTCTTCGACGACTTCATTCCACAGGTGATATATCGTGATCAGGGGCGGAGCCAGAATTTATGTTCAATGCGGGCATCATTTTTCGATGCCGAACTTCAAGGTTTTGATCATAGATTTAATGATGATAAAAAAAATAAAACAATATTACAACAACACCAAAAACGACATAATTTATATATTAAACTTGTTCCTTGCGAGTTTTCATATTTTGATATCGTCGTACAATAACTTCATTATCGAGTTTCAAAAATATATCTCTCTCTACATAAACAATAGTGCTATCATTCATCCACTGATCATCCATCCGATTGCGCAATCTATTCTTTACGATACTCATTGCAGAAAAAACTCTCTCCATAGTAGCGGTAGCAACAGGTAAAATCAATGCTAAAGTCAAAAGTCTGTAAACCAATGGATATACCTTATCTTTCTTTGTCAAAACTAACTTCTCCGCAAGATCACCAAGGTCATTCAACCCTTCAAACTCTTTGTTAGAGCGCATGTCAAAAATATAAGTCTCAAGTTGATTGCTAAGTACAATACCATCTACTGCAGAGAAATCTAATGGATAAAGCTCAGCAATTCTAATCAAATTTTTCTTGTCAAAAGAAGAAAATGAATCTTGTAGGTATAAACAAGCTACACAAAGGAGTAACTCTGTATTTACCTCCGAGAAACGATCATTCAATTCTTGAAGTTGTAAGTCGATGACAGAGTAGAACAAATCTACTCGATAATGATGTAAATTTGTAATTTCTGGAAAATTACCTTGAGGGCGACCACGAATTGCAAGGCATACAAACATATCATCCATGTTGGGTATATGAATATAATGTTTTTAACAAAAAGAACATACTTCTTCCAAAAAGGAGTCCCACCCTTCGTCTCTCATTATTTGGAGTCTTCGTTTGCACAATCTTACCAATTGCATTGCATTCACAATATCTTGATCTTTTCTTTGCAATGCCTTTGACAGTTCATTTGAAATCCCCAACACACTTCTCATCAACTGTAGATTAAATGCAAAATCAAATCTTTGTATCAACTCCAATAAATTTGTTGCATCAAATCTTTGATCACAAGAACAAGACTCATCTTCAATAATTATTGCGAGTACATCTATAACAGAATAGAACATGGCAAGCAAGCTGACCAAAGAATTATAATGTGAACTCCATCGTGTATCACCAGAGCACTGAAGGGTCGTTTCTTGATTAAGTCCCCGTCCACTTAAAATCTCACCTTTTTCTAATGCCTCAACAATAAAGTCTAATTGTTTTTCTCGAAGAAGATCACATCGTTTGGAAGATGCTCCAACAGTATTTATTACGTTCCCAACCACACCAAAGAAGTTAGTAATAGGGATGTTCTTCTTTGCCACAGCCACTAGCGCAAGTTGGAGTTGATGAGCAAAACAGTGAATGTAAAAGGCACATGGACTCTCATTCAAAATGAGTGTTTTTAGACTATTAAACTTACCTTGCATATTACTTGCTCCATCATAACCTTGTCCTCTCAATCTAGACATACTCAAGTTATATCTAGAAAATACCTTATCAATTGCAGCCTTAAGTGATAGAGCCGTGGTACTTGTAACATGTTCAATCCCTATGAAGCGTTCATTGACACGCCCACTATTGTCTACATAATGTAAAACAATAGACATTTGCTCCTTCATTGACACATCACAAGATTCATCAACTAGAATAGAAAATAACGAGTCACCAACATCTTTGATAATAACATTGATCGTTTCAATAGCACAAGTATTTACTATATCCTTTTGAACATCAGGTGATGTCAATTTGCAATTGTGAGGAGCATTTCCCAATGTGACGGCATTGATAACTTCATTATGAGCAGCCAAAAATTGATATTGCACTAAGAAGTTACCTGGATTGAGAGAATCCTCAGATTCATCATGACCTCGAAATGAGTGCCCTTGTCGCAAAAGAACTCGAACACAATCAATGGATGTATTAAGGTGTGTAACATATGCATTTCTTACTTGTTCTGACTGTTTGTAGAAAACTGATTGAATGCGTTGCTCTTGATTCATCAACACTTCACATTTAATGCGAGCATGGTTATGTGCACTATCATGAAGCCCAACATGAGTATGAAGCCTTTTTTTATCTTTCCAATATGTAAAACTTTCGCCAACAAAAGACTCACCTCCACCTTACTTTCCAGAACTTGTTCTGAAAAGATAACAATACAAACAATAAGCAGCATCCTTTTCTATACTGTACTCCAACCAACTACCGAACTTTTTAAACCACGAAGGATTGAATCGTCTAATTGTTACTCCAAATTGTCGTTTTGGAAAGTTATGATCTTGGGGCTGACAAGGACCCTTTAACATAGATGCTCTTCGAACTTCATCTCGGATGTTAGCATTGTAATCCAAAATGGGTATCCTTAGACCGGGATCAGTTGGAAGTTTTGTGACATCAAACTCCACATCATTTGATAACCCCTCATCAACATCCACATTATTCGATGCCCCCTCATCAACACTATCTACGTTCCTTTTTCGTTGAAAGTATCTATTCATTTGATATCTGGATTTAAACATTTGATATCCAGTTATTACTTGAAGTGAGTGAGAATAATTCATAATAACAAAAGGATCATAAACTCACAATTTCACAATTTCAATTCGCAAGTGCAATTCACATTTCACAATCCAATTCACAATTTCACATTATCAATCCAATTTCACAATATCAATTCACCTTCCAAATCGCAAATTCACAATGCAATTTCACAATTTATACTATTTCGCAATTTCAAAATTTATACTATTTCATTGTGATGGCAGAAGCAAACCCAACTAAACAAGCCATAAATATGCTATTTCTGTAAGCTCAAAGATACATTTGTTCCATATAGTCCTGCAGCAAGCCTTTTTGGCAATATTTGACATGTTAAACTGGCATAATTATATAATTAAAGAAAAGAAATACATAAACTTTCACCAACTGAAGTTGATATTTGATTATGATGGTGAGTGTTATATGTAATTTGAAACAATGCTTTGGCCTCTAAATTCATATTCTGTGCAAATAACACATATTGCTTTTATAATATTTAAAGTTCACAACACAATAATATAAAATATATGTACTCATTTCTTAATGGGCATCTTGTTTTAAAGTAAGAAAAAGCACCAACTATTTCATATAGAGAGCAAAATTAGGATCTTTTGCCATAAACTTCTAGGCTCAAAAGTGCAGGGCCTCCATCTTGGGGCTGAAGGGATCTTTCTCTTCCACTTCTTCAAACTCCGACTTGTATAATTCATGGAGAAATTTCTTAAACAGTTGAAGGCACTCGAGTGTGAACATTACTACAGTTAAATGAAACACGTCCCTATGGAAACATCGATCAATCAAATTCCTAACGAAGGTAATCAATTCATCCCACCAATTCTCCACTCTCTGGTTCAATATTCTCCTACTAGTGTCACTCTTCTCAAATGAAACATTATTCAGAGCTAAACACACTTAACAAGTGAACAAGTACTATTTCATTGTGATGGCAATTTCACAATTTATACTATTTCCAAATTTATACTATTTCACAATTTCACACTATCAATCCAATTTCACAACATAAGTTCACATACCAAGTTACTGACAGAGTGACTGAGTGAGAAACTGAGAATGACTAAATCAATGAGAATCTGCAAAATTGAAGAAATGAAAATTAGGCAGCAGGCAAAATCGAAGAAATGAAAAATTAGGCAGCAGACTTGCACTGACAGACGGCTCACGGCACTGCAGTTCAGTTGGAATTTGGAAGAACATCTAAATTTGAAATTAATTACCTTCTTTAGTCTTTACAGGCGGCAGTTGGTGCGGACCGTGCGGTGGCGCCTGGCAGACAGTGGTTCAGTTGCGGCCTATAAAGAAGATGCACTTCGCCGACTTTAGTTTTGGCCTAATCTAAACGGCAAGGGGCGAGGGCGAAGCTTACACTTAGTTACAGGGAGCTAAGGGAAGGAGATTAAAGCCCCTAATCTAGGAGATGCCGGCCACCGGTGACCGGTGCAGGGGCAGAGACATGCGAAGCTTCGACTTTGAGAGGCAGCGCAGGCGAGAGACGAGTATGGAGAGAGAGGCGATTAACGGATTAAGGGTTTGGCCTGATTTTGATTTCAAACGGGTTAAGAATGATGGGTCTGGGTCACTGGGTCCGGGTCGGTAAACGTAAACGGGTTATGGGCTGTGGTTACTTGGATTGGGCTTCCATCTGGATATTTACTTATTAACTAGGCTTTCAAAAACAAAAAACAAAAAAAAAAATATTTGGGCCTAGAGGAGCCCAAAAGTTCAGTGCGGGCAGATCTAATGGGGCTCTGCCCCTAATCGTGATAGTGTTGGCAGTATGTTTGTGGGTGGCCTCATCTACCTCTCTAGTGATTTCATCTTGCAACGATCTGCAGTGCACTATGGTGGTGGTGACAGTGCATTTGTGTTATGTTGTTGGGTTGTGCTGGTGGTGGCGGCATTATTAGGCTGTGTTAGTGGTGGTTGTAGCAAAGGTGATAGTGCAGGCGATGGTCACAAGTGGTTTTGAGGTGATTTTTGTAGTAGTTTTTTGAGTTGATTTTGTGGTGGTAGTAGTGTTGGTGGTCACAAGTGGTTTAGAGGTAGTTTTTGTGGTGGTTTTGTGGTAGTAGTAGTGTTGGTGGTGTCACATGTGTGCACGACACTCACGATCTAATGTCCAGTGTTTGGTAATTTGCGATTTGATAGCGATGATGGTGCTGAAGTTTGGTGTGGTGGTATTGTGGTTACAGTGGTGGTGGGTTTGCGTTGATGTGGTGTGTGGTGGTTGTTTGGCACAGTTTGGTGAAGGTGATGGTGATGTTGTTGGCAGTCGTGCGATGGATGGAATGAGATGGGGTGTTCGTGACAAATAAATTGGTTGATTTTGACCAATAAAATTGATAAATTTATGGTCAATAAATATTATGTAACTTAAAAATGTAATCGTGACTCATAATTATTTAAGGTATGATCGAGAAATTATTTGTGACCAATTAATTTGATAATTTGTGACTGATAAATGAGTTGTAATATATAAAAGTTTTTATTTTGAGATCGATGAATAAATTGTGACTTATAAAATTTTTGATTTGTGATCGAAAAATCATTTGTGACCCATTAAATTTTTGATTTGTGACCTATAAAATTTTTTGTTTGTGATTGAAAAATAATTTGTAATAAATTAATTTGTTTTTTAGTTTTCAAGTAGGCCATGGATAAACTCTTAGACTTGAATTTTGCCGGCCAAGTAGGCCCATTAGTCTTTCCCTACAGTTTTGTTGGCCCATTTAAGCCCAATTGTTCATTCCAACGAACATTCCGCAATGACCGTGATATTCAGGTCATCGTGGAAATTATACTCATCACCTAGTATTTGAAAGAAATTCAAGAAATACTTCGTAATAATTTCCTTTCATGTTTTACTTTAAAAGTATAGTAAAATGAAAAACGAATGAATCACTTCACTCATACTAGGCAAATCATTGTGAGCTGAATAGATGCCACCAAACGTGCCCCTTCCTATTTTTAAATAGATAATCAATTATGTGCAAACCATCCCCACCCCCATAGTTTTTTAGTCTAAATACCCTAATAGCCGTTGGTTCATATTCATTCTCCTCCATCCAAAACACTCTCAAGAAATCGAATAATCATATCTCACTAATCCTCACCTAGATTCATAGCACTACTGTTTGCATCAAAATATATTAAAGAATCATTGTTTGATCATTAATACAAGCGTTATTAAGGTTTATCATCCAATATATAAACCATAAACATGTTTGTAAAATAACATAATTCAAAAGAACGAAGCCTTCCTTTTACACTATTCATTATTAGTTCAAGCCCCATCCACAAAATGTCAATATTTCAATCTTCATCCACAATATGTCACATTATCAAAGTTACGGTTATCGAGTAATGTAGTAAATAGTTATTATTGGATTATGGATTGCAATATACATCCATATGTGTGAAACTGATTGACAAACACAGTCTTAACACAGAGACATACCATAAGCAATGATGTATTAATTACGAAATTGAATTTTAATATAATGAAAACCAGAATATTGTGGTAATCGAATGATGTATGGAAAATAAATCTTTTCCACTTATGGATTACAACATTCGGTCATCCATTCTCAAAAATGAAATAGATTTTATTCCAACATCCAGCTATACACATGCCAAGATGAAACGTAATAATTATTCACAGACGAAATGGGAATTTAGAATCTGACTTGGAATATCATATTCACATAAAAAAGCTAAGTCGCAGCTTGGTTAATCGTGAAACCAAAATGACGGGGAATGTAAATCATAAGTAGAGATTTAGTTGTTTTTCAAATTGACATTGCAGCATGTTCTCGAACAGTAAATCAGATATGACAAGAATTTATGAAACAATTAGGGTCCATTTGAATACAAAGATAGAATTTGGGTGAAAAAAATGAATTCTATAGAATTGAATTACCTAGAAATTATTTTATTGAGAATTGTCAACTAATAGTGTTTGACTGGTATAATTTTCTATTGGAATATGTTGGAATAAGAGTGTTTTTCTTGGTGTTCGTTTGACTTTATTTTTCATAAAAATGTCAATTTAAAGGATATCCACTCCTACAGTTGTTCCTAGAATTTGTTTCCATAGTTAAAAAAATAAAAATAAATAAAAATCCAAAAATAATATATATTTTGAGTTCATTTGGCTTTATTTTATATGAAAATTGTTATTTTAAGGGATATTCTCATCTTTTACAATTGTTCTTAGAATTTGTTCTCATTGCCAAAAAAAAAAAAAAAAGGATAAAAAAAAAACACCTATCCCATGGGAAAATGAATTCTCCAAAAACCTGGAAATTGTGAGCATGCGAGGGAAATGTGAAAAATGAATTGGTGGGAAAATTTTGGCTATCCAACAAGTCAAAAGTGGGAAATGGAAGGAAAATGTTGGGCTATCACATAGCTTTATTGTTTCGCGCGAGTAGTCGCTAATAATTAAAAAGGGGTCAGACGATTGTGTAAAGGACAAACCTCTTGAGACAAAGTCTCAAAAATGGGTGTTTTATTGACAATGACTTTACAATTGGAACTTAAACAGAAATGCCTCCAAGGGGTGCAAGCACACGAGTACTGAAAAGAAATGTTTTTAGTCTAAACTAAGAAATCGAAATTTTACATTCTTTGTTTGAGAGTGTTTGATTCGGGGTCTTGTGCTCTATGTCTTTTCTTCCTTTTATATTCCTTTGATACTCTCTTTGTGATCAACCGCTTAAAAACCGCTTAATTGCTTTATAACTGCCCACTTTCTTCATGGTGGCTAACTTATCGTGGAACTGTCGTATCTAATTGTTGTCATTACTCTTTGTCGTTCAACTATCCTCAACTGAACATCCTTGAATCGTGGAACGTGATAAGATTACCCAATAACTGCTTCGATAATTGTACTTTTGGATAACCATAACATCTCATATTTGTTAAGATCCTGGGCGATTCAAAAGTTTGGGCGAGAACAGGGTTATAACTCTGGGCGACTGCTAGGCACTTCATTAGCTCAGAT